TGGCGAAGGTTTCACGCAGGTCGACGTCGGGCGCGTCGCCCGGGAAGTCGCGGCAGCCCTTCCCGCGGCCCTCGCCGCGGGCACGGCGCACGGCGCGCGGACTCGCTGTCACTGGAGCGGCGCCATCGGGACTAGGCGCGCCCGTAGGCCCACGGGAGGCGCGCGGCACGCTGCCCCACAGGAACTTCATGCAGTCCGGGGTCGTCAGCAGCGATTTCTCCGACGGCATCGGCGCAGGGGTCGAGACCTGCCGCTGGACATGTCGCCCGCGCAACTGCCGCGCAGGCGTCGACGGCGGCTGGCGCCGCGGGCGGACTCGGCGCCGCTCCGAAAGCTGATGGGCCCATTCCATCCCAGCTCGATCTGTCTCCAGCGCAGTAGGCACTCAGATCTCGATCGCGCGCGGGCGCACCCGCGAGGAACGCGCGGCGTTGAGACGAATGCACGGCCATGGCGAGATTGCCCAGCGAGCCTTCGATCAGGCATCCAAATCTGCGTAGCTGGCTCATCACGCGCGCAAGCTGCGACGCGCCAACCGGGCAGGCCATGTCGCAGCGCTGCAGGACCATGGCGGGCTGGATGGTCGACGCACCCACCGCGCGCAGCAATAATTAGCCGAGGCCCTCGCAGCCGATCATGAGTTGACCGGCCTGCAGCACCCTTTTGCGGAAGATGTCGGACCTGGTGAAGAGGTCGTCGATGCGCTCCTGCACAATCGTTTGAAGTTCACCAGAATCGATGCCGCCTGCTCGCGCCCCTCTTCCCCAAGCCGTCCCCGCATTTCGGCCAAGCTGTGCGCGCTGCAAGTCATAAGCGGCACTGGGTCGCCGTTGATACGGCCACCTTGGACGAGGACAGCCGGCGGCCTCTCGCCCACGCACGCGCGAGCCATGCTGGTGAAGCGAGACGAGACGTAGGCCGCTTGGCGAAACTCGTTGAGGTCTGACCTCGCCACTGACCACATCGTCACCCCCCGCACCCAGCGTTGGACTGGCACGCGAGCCTGCTGCTCGGGCCTCCAGGTGCGGAGGCGTCGCATCTTGTCGCTGCCACCGCAGCTGATGGCAGCGACCACGCTCATTCCGAGAACCTTCCATCCAGAGTGGAGCCCCCTCCAGGTGTCGAGGAGGCGCGACAGTCCCGGCATCCACCAACGGCGGCGTTCTGGCAGTGATCCTCGAAGCCGTCGTGGATATCTGTCCCTTGTGTGGCCCTCCTCACCAACGAATTGGGTCTTCTCTTCTGACGCGCGATTGGCGCGCGGACTGCACTCGGAGCACCCCGTCACATACTGGCGAGAGAACTCGTCGTGCGTCGTATTGCCACTGTACTGGGCACTGCCAACTATACGAAAGTCCAGCGGAATACGCATACGAATCCAGGTCTGCCATGACGCAGGAAGCGCGCAGGTAACATAGAGGGTCTTGTCCCAGAGAACCCATAGCGGACAGACCCAAGCTTGCGTAACGGTCCCCCGGAAGGATGGCAACACAGCTGCCCGACCCTACTCTGCTTTCCCGCTTTTGCCTGCACGCGCCCCCCCGGTTTCCACAACATAGGCGCGGAGAACCCAGGACGTTTCGCCGACACCGACGATGTGAACGTCGGATCGATAGACTGCTTGACATAGTCGGCCACACCCACATGCAGATGCAATGAGGGCGGTGCGTCCCTTTCCTCTTCCCCCACGGGTTTCCGCAACACTGGTGCGAATAGCTCGGGGCCCTGCGCCGACATTGTGAGCGTGGAAATCGGATCGCTCGACGGTCTGACGCTGACGGCGGTACTCACAAGTGAGTGCTGTGACAACGAAAGGCCGCCAAGCATCTCAAACACAGCTCGAAACTGCCAGGGTGGGGGGGGCGGCGGGTCGCAGGGCACGCCGTCCTTCGTCGCCTGCCGTAGCGAAATGGACGAGAAATACGAATGTGGAGCGAGTACGTGCGGTCCACGTAGTTGTAGAACGGGTCGACGTTGAAGTCGATATGGAGCGTTCGCCGCCTGCGGCGAGGACAGCCTCGCGGGCCATGGCGGCGAGTGGTCGCGGAGCGGGGTGCTCCGCTAACAACTAACATGTAGAGCGATGAACAAGATGCTCTCTAACGGAAGAATGTCTTTCTTTTTCTGTTTTTAACCAAAAAATGCAATGCGAGAATTGTAGCGGGCGCGATGCCTGGCCAGCGCTTGAGCCAAACCAGCAGCCCGAAGCACATACTTGCTCTGTGGCCCTTTATCAGGGGAACCAAAGAGATCACAAAGGAATCAGGGACCTACCGTTCGAGTAACAGAAGGAGAAGCAGGAGGAGGAGGAGGAGGAGGAGGAGGAGGAGGAGGAGGGAGAGGAGAGGAGGAGGAGGAGGAGGAGGAGGAGGAGGAGGAGGAGGAGAAAGAGAAGGAGGAGGAGGAGGAGGAGGAGGAGGAGGGAGGGAGGGAGGAACCCTCCGCTCCCTGTGGGCGGAAGGCGAGGCCTAAATCGCGGAACCGTAGGGCGAGGTGTGGCACGGTGGTGGAGGGGCGGAGCGGGGTCTCAGAAGCTCAATAGAAGTTACGCGGTCAGGACTCGGCCAAGCGAGGATGGAGTACAGTCGGGGCGTTGACCTAAGGAACCTTCAATAAGGAACGAGACCCCTTTCTCCCATAAGTTGAACTTCGACTCCCCATGGAAAACCTCAGGAAAACAGAAGGCAAACTGTCGAACAATCAAGGACCACCGAGCCCCTCCCCAACGGAAAGGGTTCCTTCTGCAGGGCCCCGGCTGTACAGCCGAGGCGACGGCTCGTGAACGATTCACATCACTACCCTGGCCCAGCCTCCAGGCGAAATCCTGAGCCAGCGTTGGGCCAGCCGTGCTCTCGTGCACGCGCAGAGGGTACGAAACTGGGCGCGCCTGCCAGACAGTGGCGGACAAACGCGGGGCCGTAACTGTATGAGGACGCGAGACACCTAGAAAGCATCAAGACGAAAGACGATGAAACCGAAATCACACCAAGCACGCCCAGGACCGAGGGATGCAAGGGCCCACAGTTGACTGCATCGAAACCACAGGGGCGCCCAGGAGTACCGAGAAGCGCTGGGAGACCAACCCCCCGACGCCGTCCCGGAGGAGATGGCGAGCTCGGGGGCGCTCCGGGGCTCTTTTTCGGGGAAAGAAGAAGAAGAAGAAGAAGAAGAAGAAGAAGGAGCATGGCAAGCTCGCCTCGCGACGACTTGTGAGCTTGATGCGGGCACCGCGTGGATCGTTCGGCCTCGACGATCGCGGCCTTCCGATCGCGCGGATCGTTCGCCACCCGGAGGAGGAGGAGGAGGAGGAGGAGGAGGAGGAGGGGGAGGGGGAGGAGGAGGAGGGAGGAGGGAGGAGGGAAGAGGGAGGAGGGAGGAGGGAGGAGGGAGGAGGGAGGAGGGAGGAGGGAGGAGGAGGAGGAGGAGGAGGAGGAGGAGGAGGAGGAGGAGGAGTAGGCGGAGGAGGAGGCCTGGAACGCCCGCGCTGGGGCTGCCGCCGCGTCGACCCGACGGGGGGACTGCCGCGGGCGGCCAGAGGCCACCTGCGGCACCGCGGCGCGCGCGCGCTCGGCTCCGCGCGCCAGTGTGAGGGGGGCCTGGGGCGCACAAATAAATACACACAAACAAAATGATTCCCCATATTTTCCCATGTTTTCTGGGTTCTTGTCCTCCCTCCCACTTCCCACATATTTTCCCATATTTTCCTGGGAATCGACGATTCATTGTGTCTGTGTGTTTTTTCCCCTCCTGACAGGGGAGGGGGCCTGGGGCGCCGGGGGAAGAGCCGATCGCGGACAGCGCGTGCTCACGCGTGGCCGCAGACAGAAACCGCAGCTCGCGCTGAGAGGCGTACGTCCGCTGCGCCCCGCCGAGCTGCCGCTGGCTTCCGCCGGCGGAACTGCCCCCGCCTTGCTTCCGCCGGTTCCCGCCGTCTTCCGCCGATAGCAAGACGCGGGTCGAGGCGGTCGGAGCCCCCCTGGACTTCCCCAAGAGGCAGGCCAAATCCTTCAAACACCTGAGGCAACCAGTGAGTATGGCCTTCTCGTCTTGTCGCTTCCGATGCAGCTTTGAGGTCTCCAGATGGCCCCAAGAGAGCCCAGGAGAGCCCCAAGAGGGGCCCAATAAGCCTTCAAGACGGCACCAAGACCGCCCAAGAGCGCCCCAAGGGCGCCCCAAGAGGGCCCTAAGAGGCGATGTTCATGGACCCATAGCGGGGAGGCAATGCGGGAAAACCCCCTCTTTTGATCGACGCCCTTCAAGACGGCCCCAAGAGGCCCTCCAAGGCTCCCAAAAGGCCCCAGAGAGGGCTCCAAGAGAGCCCCAAGACATCGAAAAAAGCCCTGAGAGGACCCCCAAGACACTTCAAAATAGCCCCAAGAGGGCCCAAAGAGGGCCGCGAGAGAGCCCCAAGAGGACCTTCACGGGGCTTCGAGAAGACCTCAAGACGGCTGCCAGAGTCTTCGTCATCCTCCTCCTCCTCCTCCTCCTCCTCCTCCTCCTCCTCCTCCTCCGTCTCATCATCACCATCATCATCATCATCATCATCATCATCATCATCATCATCATCATTATCATCATCGTCAACATCAGCAGCAACAGCATCAGCATCATCATCATCATCATCATCATCATCATCATCAGCATCAGCATCGGCAACATCATCATCATCATCATCATCATCATCATCATCATCATCATCATCATCATCATCATAGTCATAGTCATCATCATCATCATCATCATCATCATCATCATCATCATCATCATCATCACCATCATCATCCTCATCCTTGTATTCGTCCTCTTCTTCCTCGCCCTCCTCCTCCTCCTCCTACTACTCCTCTTCCTCCTCCTCCTCCTCCTCGTCCTCCTCCTCGTCCTCCTCCTCGTTCTCGCCCTCGTCCCGGGTCTGATCAGGCCGATCCAAAAGTTGCTCCATTGCATGTTTCTACGCCGTCTTGATCAAGGCAACACGCGCGGGCATCGTTTCTGGACGGACCAGCGAGAATACTTTCTGTTAGCAGCCGAAGGCGAGCGCGCCAACGGCGAGTAAGACCGGTGAAAATATGCGAAGCGTCAAGACCTCTTTCAGCGCTTTGACCGTACTGTGTTTGCTGTTGCGAAACGCGGCGCTACCACACACCCGCGAGACGCTCGCATCCCCGAGACTGCAGGCATATCCAGCCCCTTGTGAAGGTCTGCTCGCGGCAGGCGAGACTCCACATGGCCCTGGTAGGCCTCCTCCCCTCTGAGAGGAGGGCCTGGTCAGGAACCACTGGCGTGTACCAGTCGTCTGGTCTTCCCACGGACAGGGTGCTTGAAACACGGTTTCGTTGGCACCCCACGGGAGACCCCACCATCAGCTCATGCAAGTTGACACTATTTATTTCGTGACGCAGGGCTTGCGAAAGACGACAGGCGCAAGCCGTCACCAGAAGAATTGCGACAGGGAGGAATGCATCAACGCGAAGAGGAAGGCTGAATAGACCAACGAAGGAACTGAGACACTACACTGCTCAAATCAAGCACATAGAACGTGGGAACATTGAAACTAAAGCCCTAACCTGTCTTTTGTTGTCTTTTGTCACCGGGGCAAGCCCGCGACGGAAAACTTTGAGGCGGTAGCGAGCATTGACCAGAAATACGTGCTAGTATCAGCTGAGAGCAAGTGCCCTCTGTGTTCAGCCAGTCAACAGCTGCCTCTGTAAGCATATGAAAGGGCAACGACGATTGCGGGCGGGCATGATATTGGCACGCTGTGCGAAAAACTGACCGGCAGCGTGGGCCCTCAGCCTACAAACAGTCCGGTGACTGTTCCGGGCACCGCGCAGCCACAGCTGCCTTCCTCGACTGCCCGCCCACATCCGGTTCGCCCCATCATTCACTCTTCCACATCCCTGCAGACGGCATGTGGGCCCCTGGATCAGATTTAGCTTTGCGCGACGGGCGCCCAATGGGAATCAGAGCGCCCCCTGCTGGTCGTGCATCCACGGCTCGTCCCACACGGAGCCACGACTCGGGCTGGCGCCCGCGGAGCTCGCCCACGATGCCTCCCCGAGCGTGAGCCGCTGGGCGGGGTCCAGGGCCAGGAGGCCTTCCAGGAGCTGCTTGAGCGGCTCCGACATGACCTCGCCGACCCTCAGCTGGCTGTTGCGGAGCTTCCGCTTGTCCAAGTACGGCCGGAAGCCGTGCTTCCTGACATACTCGAAGCACTTGCAGCCACCTGGCCGCGTGGACAGCCATGGATAGTCCTTCACCAAGATGGCGTACAGCGTCACTCCGAGAGAGAACGCGTCAGAAAGGCAGGCGTCGTATCTCTGGCTGGTGTGCAGCTCGGGCGCCTGGTACGATGCCTTGCCCCTCACGCAATTCTTGAGGTACCGCGAGTTCGTGGCCATTCCGAAATCGATGATTCGGATGGACAGGCTGCCGTCATCGGCCTTGCACATGAGGATGTTTTCAAGGGACAGGTCCAGGTGGCCGATCCCCATCTCGTGCAGCTGCTGCACGCCCTCCAGCATCTGTCTCGCCAACGGGCGCACAACCGTCTCGCGCTCGGGGCCAGGCGGCACGCCAGACTCGCACCAGGAGAACATGTCCCCCTCCGATGCAAAACTGGTCACCACGTAGGTGAAATCCGTGTCCTTGAACACCCCGAGCAGGGTGCACGCGTACGCGTACCCAGCCTGGTTCAAGAAATTGACGCACCCGATATCCTGCCACGGCATCTCCGTCTCAGTGGGGTGCTCGGCCACAAACTCCTGGTGCGAATTGCGGAACCACCCGTTCGGCATCTGCTTAACGGCCACGTCCACGCCAGCCTCATTATCGTGCATGAGATGCACCATGCCCCTGTTCCTGGTGGCGTCCTGCAGCTTCTTGACCATCCTGAAACGATCAGAATCCCAGACGCCGACATTTGCGGGATCAAAGCCCTGATGCAGCGGACAGGGCGCTGGCGGCAGAGTGGCAACCGCGCGCTGGCCTGGGGCCGGCGGCCTGTCAGCGGGCTCGCGGTCTGCAGGCGAGAACGCCATTGTGGGGCCCGTGCTCGAGACCGCGTTGGTCTGCCCCGCCATGAGTGGCAGAGTCGGCCCTGCAGCTGCACCAGAGGATGCAGCGGCAAGCTCGTGCTGCGATGCAGCTCCCCCGGTGTCCGAGTACACGGCCTGGCCAGAGGCGTCCTGCTCGAACCGAGCAAGCTTGAAGATGCCCTGCACGTGAGGAGGGAACTGCGACAAGAACGGTCGACCACCAACAGCAAAGTAGTCCATGTAGGGCCTGCAGCTCGGTCAGCAAGCCTTGGGGTCACTTGCACTGCCAAGCCGACCCAGACCCGTCATGCGGTGCGCCCGCAGGGAGCCATGACGGCTGCGAGCCATAACGGCTACGAGCCCGCTCGCGCAAGTGGATGATCTGCCACCGTGCCCTTGAGGCACGAGTTGGAATGTCCTCAGGTCCTTGGCCTGGTCCCTTAAGCCCCAGCCCTCAATCCTGAGGATTCCTCAAGGGGCCCAGACCCACAACTGCCGAATCTATTGGGGCTTACCGCGTGCCCCCTGGGGCGCGTCGCGTCTTCTCGTAATGCTTTTCCGATCTAGGAGGGCCCCGAGACGGGCCAAGAGGGCCCCGAGATGTTCCACAGACGGTCCAAGGTGGCCCCGAATCGCCGCACGATCGGTCCAAGACGCCCAAGAGGGCCCCAATACAGCCAAAGAGGCCTGAGAGACGCCCCAAGAGAGCCCCAAGAGCCTTCCCAAAAGGACCCCGAGACGCCAAAATCCGTGATTTACACATGGTGTTTCGGTGTTCCGGGGGTCCACGACTTTTCAAGCCTCCAACGCTAGAAGACGGCCCAAGAGGCCCCCCAGACGACCCAAGAAGCCCCCAAGAGAGCCCCCAGACGGCCCAAGAAGGCTCCAAAACGGCCCTAGAGGTGCTCAGGAGGCCCCAAGGAGGCGCCAAGAAGTCCCCAAGAGGCCCCAAGAGACCCGAGACCCCCAAGAGGCCCTCAAGACGCCCCAAGAAGCCCCAAAACGACCCCCAGAAGACCTCCAAACTGCACCCAAGAAGCCCCTCCGCGACATCCCAACGATCACCCTAAAGGCATATGACGCATAATCCAGGCACGGAGGCGAAATGAGCCGCAGGCCATTCGATCCGCCGCCCCACGTTGATTTATCACAAGTATGCCGGGCGTGCTAGATCCTACCTTTGTTGGTTTTGGTTCTTTTCCAAAAGAACTCCCCCTGGGGCGTCGGCGCATGCCGCTGGCCACCCAGAAGGGACAGCAAAGCACCTCAACGTGCGAAACAAATTCCCAAGACGGCTCAATATGGCCTCTCCGACGGCCAAGATGTCTCAAGATGGCCTCCAAGATGCCTCCAAGATGGCCAAGATGGCCCCAAGAGACCCCGTCATGGCCCCAAGATGCACCCACGACGGCAGAAATGGTATCAAGACGGCCTGCGACGACCCAAAAGGTCAGCAGGTCCCCAAGAAGCCTCCAAGACGGCCGAAGAGACCTCCAGGAAGGCCCGAAGAGGCCAAAATCAATGAGTTGCCTAAGGTTCGACGGATTTTAACATTTCTTGCTTTTCGGCCTTCAGACGGCCCGAGACAGCCAAAGAGCCCCTAAAGATCGCCCCAAGATCGCCCAAGAGGCCTCCGAGATGGCCCCAGAACGGCCCAAGAGGCTCCCAATACAGCGCCAAGAGGGCCCCAAGACTGCCCAAGAGGCCTCCAAGACGCTCAAGATGGCCTCCGAGACGGCCCTGGAGCACCCCAAGAGGGCCCCAAGTCGGCCCAGAGAGGCCCCTAAGACGGCTTCCAACGGCATCAGACGAGCCAGGAACGCCCTAAGACGGACAAAGAGGCCCCCGAGAAGCCCCCAAAGGCCCTCAAGAGGCCCAAGAAGGCCCCCAAGATGCCTCCAAGAAGCTCCCAGGAAGCTCCCAGGAGGCCCCAAGAGTGCCCCCCGAGGCTCCCAAGATGCCCCCTCCTCCTCCTCTTCCTCCTCCTCCTCCCCCTCCTCCTCCTCCTCCTCCTCCTCCTCTTCTTCCTCCTCCTGATCGTCCACGCCATCCTCCCACAAGTGTTCCCCGAAGGGTTTCCACAACGGCTGTGGGGACACATGGTCCGATAGCTTGACAGAGCTCTTGCCACAACGCTCGGCCACATGGGCGATTCAAAAAGGCAGGGGGTGGCGGTGATTCCCCGTAGGCGTTTTCGATAATTCGGATGCTGACCACGACGAGTACGATAACGGCGGCGGTGATGATGGAACCGGCATGGTTGATGTCGACGTGGGGATGGCGATGACGGCGATGAAAATGATGATTACGACGACTGTGATGACGAGCGCCCCCTGGGCACGACGAAAACAGCGGCTGTTATGGTACCGAATGCGACGATAACGACATGTGTGATGCCAACCATCGCATGATATGATGACGCATATGACAAATACTCCCCGGCAAGAAAGCCGAAGCCAACACGCACAAAAGTTTATAGCGTCTCGCCGCAGAGGTGCGCCCCTAACGCCGCCTTGTATGCCCCTTTGGGGGTGCCAACGCTACAACGGAGCCGCCACGCAGAGGCGGAGCGTGGTGACTGCGGCGACTGCGACGCCGAACGCAATGACTATGGCAACTATGCTGTGGTAATGTGGCTTCGGGCGTGGGGGGTACGAAGGGAAGGGAGGGTAGCTTCGGCGGGCCGGAAGGGAAAGGGGGGGAGAGGAGGGGGGCTCCCAGCTGGGAGCCCAAAAAAGATGGGGGGCAACTTCCAGTGGGGGGGGAAGGGGGAGGGGGGAGGCTTCGGAACGAGGACGACGAGGGGGCCGGGGGCAAAGGGGGACTCCCCCCCTTGCTCGGGCAGATCACACCTGCAGATGCAGATCAGGAGAAGGAGGAGGACGAGGAGGATAAACTTCCTCCCTGTCAGGGACGCGCTGCCCCGAGCTCGCGCGAAACCCGGCCAGCCAAGGCCACGTCACGAACCCAGGCCTGCCAAGACGCACCTCCCAAACCGAAGGTAGGGAAGGCTTCCACATGGCTCCCAAGCCCAGGTCAGGCAGCAGGGATCACAGGGGATTGGCTGACCCCCGTTTGCGCTGACCCCTGCTGCATCCCTCCGATTACCTTTTGGACCATGGCTCGGGACCCGCACAGCCGTTTTAGGACAGTTCCGTCATCCCCAGAAACCTCTCGACGATGCAATTTTTTCCTGGCCCGCGGACGCAAGCGAGCAGGAGCCGGTCGAGCAAGCGGCGGGGCGCACCGAAGCGAATGGAGGCGCGAAAGCGTGGAAGGACCGGAGGGGCGGAACAGAGAGGGAGCACGGTCAGAACATGCGGTGCTTCACGGGCGCGCCAGCGCCGTGCAGCCACGCTGTGCCCACGTGGAGGAACAAGGCCGCGTGGGTGGAGGCCTTGCAGCAGGACTGAAAGCCCGTAACCGGTGACGACGAAGGACACCCGGGAACCGAAACCGCCTTCAAGGAAGCGAGAGCTGCTCGAAGACGCACGGGCCCCCTCCAGACCGCCCCGCGGCCCTCTCGGGCCCACGCCCGCCCGCCGGGGCCCCGGCTGGCTGCCTCGCCTGGTCCGGGTCATTGCTGGCGAGCACCTCGTCCGACTCCTCTGCCTCGTTGGTCTCGTGCGCGCGGGGGAGAAGGCGGAGGATGTTAGTCACGATCCCTCCTTCATTCCTTGCAGTCCTCATCCTCCTCCTTAAGTCCTCCTCCTCCTCCTCCTTCTCCTCCTCCTCCTCCTCCTCCTCCTCCTCCTCCTCACCCTCCTGTCACACCTCGGTTCCCTAGGATGCTGCCCGAGGACGCGCTCGAGGCCGACAGGAAGCAGTACACAGGTCGCCGCCGCCAGGAAACATTCTGGCGGCCTCGTCAGCCTTCGGGGATTTCACCGAGGACGAGTGTGAGTGGTACGCTGTACTGCTCACGGCGATCTACCATTGCAAGCCTTCGGAACAGCAGAAGGAGCGTCAGAGGGCCGTACTGAAGCGGGCTCAGACGAAGCTCGATGCTCAATCAGAGTCAATACATGCCAAGGAGTGCGAGCTCGACACTCTGCGAGTTCAGCGAGGTCAGACAGAGGAGAGGGTCTACCGCCACTAGCAGCCTCTCACCGAGATCGAGACTTCGCCACCGTCACCGAGGCCAGAACCTCAGCACGAGCCCATGGAGCCAACGATCTCGACGGCGACGGGCAGTCGATGCAGGATGTGGCTGGCGCTCCTGCGCTTGGACGACCAGCTCCGCCGCCGGCGCGAGCACCTGTCCAGAAAGGGGTGCAGCCGAATCAGCTCGATGGCACGGCAGCATTTCAGGTCCCAAATTGCGCCATTGTCTCGCAGTCTGACCACCTTAGAGGGTCGACTGCAACGTCTCAGCGCTGGGCTCGCAGCTGTATCTGAATGCCAGCGACGAGGCATTGCTTGCTGGTGTGTGCACACCGCCGTCTGGCCTGCAGACTCCGCATCGCGTTTGCAGCCTCTTGCCCCGACAGCGCCTGCGGCAGCCCGACGAGGACCTGGAGGGATCCCCGTGGATGACCAAAGGGGCCACTCGGAGCACATACCCGCAGCAATCGGGGAGCGTGCCCCACGGTCCCTCGGACAGTCAGGCCCAGGAGGGGACGAAGGGCGGCAGCAGCCAGCCACGGCCGAGGCTTCCCTAGAAGAAGAACCGTCACTGGGGTAGCGTCCGTGCCCGTGCTGATCCCGATCGACCTTTCGGATCGGGATCCACGGGGCCCATTGGCAACCACAAGGTTATCATTCATCCCGTGCTCAGGCATGATTGATGATGATGAGGCGCCCTGGTCCTGGACACCCGCTTCTGGCTGGCCAGACCTGGAGCCACTTCTTCTCCCTTGCTCTCTTGATTGTCCTCGTACGCTGTATCCCCCTCCCTCGCAGGACTGGTACACTTCCAGAGCCTTCATATGCACTGGGGTCAGAGGGGTGGGAAGTCAGGGCCGCCGTCGTGGGTTTTTCTCGTGCTCCTGCTGCACTCACCAGGGTCCTGGCACTATGAAGGCCACGTTGCAGGTGCCTTGGATGCGGATGCTATGCCATGTCCAAAGGTGTACGCGAAACTTGCTGCAGAAGCAGTGGCCATGATATGGACAACATCTTCGGCAGTTCAGTCGCCGTTTCAGTATGCCAGCTTCAGTGTCGAAAATCGAAGCGTTCGCGCCGCAACAGGGGGGGGGTATGCCCGAAGATTCTGGCTCGGCACGCTGTCTCAGAACACGAACCTTTTTTCTCTAACAGCGTCGAGGCGCTGATTTCAATCATGTTAAGTCCCACCTGGATAAGCTCAGGAATAAAATTGGCAGACTTGCAGCGCTGGCAACGCTGACATGTGTGCTACCTCCTGATCCCTGTCCGTCGGGCTCCTGGCTTCCTCAGCCTCTCGCCGCGTCGTGGGTGTGGCCCGGAGAGTTGGAGAGCGAGACCAGAATCCCATCTTCGTTCATGATATTCCTTCCGTCAAGGGAAGTTGTCCCCCGCGGGTCGCCCCTGTTGGTCCTTCTCACGACCTCCCCTGCACTCGCGTCGCCCAACCATGTGGGGCCCATAACCTTCCTAAGGATGTGGTTCCACACGCCAGGCCGGTGATCCGCATGGGGCTTGTTAACATATTGAGCTTGCGTGCGACGGGAAACGAATATATTAAGCTGCCGGTGGAACTCGATGCATGGATCCACCACCACATGCTTGCTGTCTAATTTGACCCGTCACGATTGTATGTCGTCGGCGCAGTTAGATCCAGGGTCCCGAGATCAGGATGGACATGCATTGGCAGTCCTCTTTTGCCCCATGGCTCATCGACGGCCACAGGTACCCATGGGTTTCGAGAGGAGGGTCCCGTTGGTGCCCAACTTGCCGTCTTTCGCAATTCTGAAACGGTTGCTCACAGTTGCAGTTGCCAGACCTACGATACTGATTGACAACATGGCAGTGGGCTCGTCTCAATGTCGTTTGGTGATGGGTATGCTCCCCACACGAAACACGATCAGGACGACATCGCAGCTCAGTGGAGCAGGTTTGAAGTTCTCGTTTTCAAGGCTCGCGCTGCAACGTCATTCCCATTCTGCTGCTGAACGCCAGCGCTAAGCTTGGCGCTTCCCCTTCGAGGCAGTTGGCAGAATTGCTAATGAAGCCGTTAATTGCAGTGGGCAGTGCTGCAATACATTCTTGCGTTCGAGTTCTGATTCTTTGCCTGCGATCTCCATGGGGGACCCCGAGCACCGAAGACGTGGACACCCCGTGAGTCGTTTGTCCCCACCCTGGGCATGGATATAGTTTCGGTCCCGATTGCGCTTCAGCAATGTGCTTTCGATCCCGTATTCCATCGCGCGGTCGAACCAACGATCGTTCAACCTGATCACGCCCGTATGCAGGTGGATTTTCGCATGCCGGTCCCAGAACCTCGGCCTTCCTTTGAATTATCTCGTCGAAGCCACGGCTGTATCGCACAAAACTCGCGGATGCGTCCGA